TAATTAAAATTAATAAGTGCTTAATATTTTAATTATTTATCAAAAACATGTATTTTGGACCTTTCAAAAAACCCTAATACACTTATAAAAAATTTAATTGGAGTATTTTCAGTTGTACGACACTTAAAATTTAACCTTCACTTAATTTGAAGGAAACATTGAGTAGACCCACTTTAAAAGAAAAATTTTCCAATTTTCTTATGCATATACTCTTCTGTTTAATTTCAATGAGTATAGTATTTTAATAAAATAGAAATATAATAATATTTTGATAGAATTTTATATTTATTCTTAATTAGATACTACTTAAACAAGATTTTTTTTTGCTAACAACTTAATTAATTTAGTAACAATCTCTTTCCACTAAAAGTAAATGCTCCTGAATTTAGATCATATGACATTTATGTAGCATGAGATAAGAGATAAGAGATAAGAGAAGATTGTTTTTTATAGTGAAATTCAAGATAAAAAAAAACTTTATTTAATATATGTTATAATTATCTTTTAAAAATAAAAATAAAATAAAAATAAACACATTAAATGACAAACTAAAATAAAGTAAATAACTAAATTTAAAAATTTTAAATTAGAATTAAAGTCTACTAAAATTTAACAAAGCGAGTTAATTTTAAATTAAGTAATGTTTTTATATAATGCAAACAAATTTCAATTAATTAACTATATAAAATCATTATCTAAAATTATTTGCAGGACGGCGTACATATTTTTCTAAGTACAGTTTCATCCATCCACATGCAATATTCTAATTATTATTATTATTATTATTATTATTATTATTATTATTATTTTGCTACGATGGAATGTTCTGATTAATTTAATACTCCACTAGATATTGATGAGTGCAATGAACCAAAAAAGTATCCCTGCCACGGAACTTGCCAGAATACCATCGGGTCCTACACTTGCGAAGAAAAAGCACACAAAACAACTTGGCCTATCATTTTGGGTAAGCCCCTTATTCTACTGACTTCTATTTATTTTTAACCAAACATGGATACCAATGTGGAACAGGACTTTATAAAGTTCTGGTTGTTTTTTTTTTTTTTAAGTATATCTTATGATAAGTTATGACATACAATAGGTAGCCCTCTTTTTTTAATCTATTCTCACCCATTTTAAGACTCAAACTTAAACTTCCAATTAATTTGGAGTAGTAAGTTCTTAAAGTTTTGATATCCTTGGGATTCTCTTGCTAAAGTCATCCTTTCTCCTTCCATAATACTTATAGGTATCAGTCTGGGGTTTGCATTAGTTTGTTTGGTTATTGGTGCATGGTGGTTGTCCAAAATGTTAAAGAAGAGAAGGGAAATGAAGCTCCGGAGCCAGTTCTTCAAACAAAATGGAGGCTTATTATTGCAGCAACAATTGTCTTCAACTGAAGGTAATGTTGAAAGAACCAAAATATTTAGTACCAAGGAGTTGGAAAGGGCAACTGATAACTTCAATAGGAATAGAATACTTGGTCAGGGAGGTCAAGGCACTGTTTATAAAGGAATGTTGGTTGATGGAAGAATTGTGGCAGTTAAGAAGTCCAAAGGACTAGATGAAGAGAAAGTTAAAGATTTCATCAATGAGGTGATCATTCTTACACAGATTAATCACAGAAATATTGTTAAGTTATTAGGGTGTTGTTTGGAGACTGAAGTTCCTCTACTAGTTTATGAATTCATCCCCAATGGAACACTTTTCCAATACATACATGGTGAAAATGAGGACTTCCCATTATCTTGGGAAAGACGAGTAACAATTGCATTAGAAGTTGCATCTGCCCTTTCTTACTTGCACTCGGCAGCCTCCATTCCCATTTATCATCGAGATGTCAAGTCCTCAAATATTTTACTAGATGAAAAGTACAAGGCAAAAGTTTCAGACTTTGGGGCATCAAGATCAATTGCTATTGATCAAACTCATTTGACCACAAATGTTCAGGGTACATTTGGGTACGTAAACCCTGAATATTACTACTCAGGTTAATTTACAGAAAAGAGTGATGTTTATAGCTTTGGAGTTGTTCTTGTCGAGCTCTTAACTGGAAAAAAACCGGTTTCTTTGGAAAGGACAGAAGGTGGAAGAAATTTGGCCTCTCATTTCATTCTTTCCATGGAAGAGAATAACCTCTTTAATATTCTTGATGCTCGAGTTAAGGATACTTCTGCACATGAAGAAATTATAAAGGTTGCTAAACTTGCATATAGATGCTTAAGCTTGAGTGGTAAAAAGCGGCCAAGGATGATAGAAATTGCTGTGGAGTTGGAACAGATTCGTTTTTTGCAAAACAATTCAAATGGTCAAAAAAATCATGAAGAGATTAGATATGTTGAGACTGAAGTAACCAATCACTGGGATGTTGCCTCAAGAGCTGCTTTGTCAATAGACATGGAACCACCATTTTCAAGTGAATCATCGGGACTGTTAGAAAAGCAAGTGAGCTCAAATATCAAGTGATATAGGTAGAGATAGACTATGTTTTGTGTGGGTGTATTTTCATGATTATTTATCATAATATTATCATGATTAGTAAAGAAATAGAAACTAAAATAGTTTTAATATTACTAAATAAATTTATAATTTAGTTGTTAGTGTTGAAATTTGTTTTAAATAAATTATTTAATTTTTTTTTTGTTTTAATTTAGTTTTCAACAATTTCAAAATTTATAAAACTTAAAATCAGAAATAAAAAATAACTATCGGATTAAATCGGCTGAGAAATTTATGAAATCAAGGCATCAATTTGATTCAAATTGATTGCTTGATTTAATTGTATAAATAAATTTTAGATTTTACGGAAAACAAAAATCTTAGATTAAATATTACGTTAACAGAGTAGATTTTATTTAGAATTTAAAGCCTAAATAAAGTTGGGAAAAGCTATACACGAACCTTGTCTGCATAATTTTATTTGCAATTTGACGTTACGTATTATAATTAGTTATTTTTATTTAAAAACTTATTTATAATATTATATATTTATTTATTTAATATCATATGATTATATTAAGTTAAAAATAAAGTTGTGTAGTTAAAGTTATGTGGACAGCATTTTCATATAAATTATTATAAAATAATAATAACAGCCACCGAAGGGGTGAATAAATTTATATATTTTTCGTAAATATGGGTAACTCATGATTAAGGAAAATTATTTAGGAACAAATTTCTCTTATAATTTATTTATGTTATTTAATAATTAGTTTTTGTCACTTTATGGAAATATATAATATTGTATGTATTAATTTATTAAATAAAACATAATAATTATAAATAAAAATTATACAAATATGTTACACTACTGGAAAACGAGGCATAAACGAGAAGAACATATTCGACAACCAATTTGTTGTCGAATATAAATGCATAATTGACAGCATCTTTGTCGAAGACGTTTGATTGTCGATTATGATCGATTTTTTGGTTTTTATTCGACAGCATATATATTCAACAAAAAAAGTTGTTGAATATGTACTCATATTCGACAGAAATGCTTATGTCGAATATGTATAATCGACAAAAATGCTTCTGTCGAATATGTATAATCGACAGCATTAGGTTGTCAATTATGTTTTCACATATTCGACAGCAATGCTGTCAAATATGTTAGGAAATGACAATGTTTCCTCTATATATTCGACAGCAACATTGTCGAATATACCCGTTGATAACCACCCGACCTCCCTTTCTTTCCCCATTTCTTCTTCTTCCTCTGCAGCGATCTAGTTTGTTGTTCTCTGGCACTGTTCTTGCCATTGCCATCGGTATTCTTGTTTCTTGCCATCGAGCCCCCTGCTATCAGAATATTCACGCCGGTGATGTTGACGATGAGTTAGCCCCTCTCCTGCACGGTGATTTGGTTTTTCTTTTTTTTCCCTTGGATTTATAGTTGGCATTTGCATATTTCCTTGTAGATTCGTGCCTTTTGTAAGTTGCAGCACTGACTTTTTTTTTTTTCGTTTTGTTCTTGTTTCTTTCCTTGTTTTTCCTTGGATTTGAGTTTACAAGACCCCAATTTTGTTTTTTTACCGCCTTTATTGCCTCCACAACATTATTGTCCCCATTGGCAGAGGTAATTGAGATCTTTGTGATTTTTTTATACAAAATTATATTGTCTTATTTGTAGATTAGTGTAGATTATTACTATTATTGCATGAATTATGAGTAAATTGTTGTTATTTTTTTCAAGTTTTTGAGATTAAAATTTGTTTGTTAATTACTTGCTTGAAGAGTTGTTTTTTAGTAAATTTGTATACACAAAGTTATGGATTTTAGATTATTAAATTTGAGATTAAGATTGAGATTGATATTGAGATTGAGATTGAGGTCTAAATATCTTGAAATAGAGTGATATTTATATTGAATTTCTATAGTTACAAATTTGTTATTTATTTCAAATTAGCTCAATCTGAGAGATTGATATTGAGATTGGGATGTGCATTATTATTGAACTAAAATGATATTTAGATTGAATTTTTATATATCAAATTGTTTATT